TAGTTAGCATAAATCAGTTAAATGACGAAAAATTAGTTGTCTATTTACTTGTGACCACGCTGTGTATTTATTTCTCAGCAGCTTAAAAACTCAGCCGAGTTTCCAAATTCATATAACTAAAAAAAAACCTTCCTGTTCGACCCTTCTGTTATTAGCAAATCTATCCCATACTTGTAGGGAATTCGGTTCATCTGATAATACCACAAAGATAAGATGAAATGTTGTTGTCGTGACCAGATAGATTGGGGGATTTCTGTTTTTGTTGATGTGTTCACTTGCCTTGCTTGATCTTTTGCGTTGATAAAAATAGTTTAAAATAATGCTTTTACAGAAAGGGTGGTTTGTTTTATATGTTGAAGGACTCGCAAGAACCAAGGGGGAGAGTTTCGAGAATTGAGGACAATGGATGGTCATTAACGTTAATCGGCATCTTTCGCACCCGAGACTACCTGGAGAGGACTCCCATGCTGGAGCACAACAGACTCAACAACATACAGCCAAGAAAAACTAAAAATGCTGCTGATGGATGACCTCCGCCAGTTAGAGCTGTTTTCCTATGACAGAGGAGACAGTAGACACCCACGGCATAAGCCAGGAGAATCTTTAGAGTTAGATACCGGACCGAAACCAAGTAGCATTCCTTAATTTCTGAGCTACCAGGTGGTATTTCACACATGATCTAAGCCCCAAATTTTGTAATTATTACTTGATTTACTTAACAGTAAAGACCGTCATTAGGTCGAACAAACAATGACCGAAAGGACGTGGCATTCCCATTGGCACAACGGTATTTTAATTGTCGGCTGAGTTCTAGTCTCAAACAAAAATGGGAAGAATTGTGGTATATGTATATATCATGTCTTTACCACCATCTTTAGTAGTATACAAATGTTCATGTAATTTATTTCTATTGAGTTTTTTGATGAAAATATCAGTCCAGACAACCGCTGGAATTTTTCGGTTCGAGTGTGACATGGTGGCTCTTTGTCTTTCTCTCCGTGTTTTTGTATCCTACGAAACTGTTGAGACGTCCTTTCGTTTACTCAAGAGACAACACCGATGTGTCTTAAAACTGCGAATGTTAAAAGAGAGTAATAGAGCACGTGGTAACACCATAAAACAAGGAAACTGATGGCTTGGTAATAGAGCACGTGGTAACACCATAAAACAAGGAAACTGATGGCTTGGTAATAGAGCACGTGGTAACACCATAAAACAAGGAAACTGATGGCTTGGTAATAGAGCACGTGGTAACACCATAAAACAAGGAAACTGATGGCTTGGTAATAGAGCACGTGGTAACACCATAAAACAAGGAAACTGAT